AGGGGGGGGTCGGGGTGGTGGTTTGGGGGATTGGTAAACCCCTGAGGGTAGGGGAAAACTGCGTGGTGTTGATTCGCAGAGAAAGCATGCTATTATGCAGGTGAAAGGTCATTATTGTTGACAAATAATTTCTTAAGGGGTCAGGAATTACGTTTAGGGAGGGGGACATGCCATGTAAGTTGGGAGACCCTTAATTAGTCGTAGTGGGTGGAGAAATATTGTTGCAACGGCTCACTGGTCATTTCGACTGCCAGTAATGAGTTTTGTATGAGTCAGAATGGACATGCCTATCTCCTTAATTGAAAATGCCAAAACACGATTCTGGTCATTGACTTTGAAATAATGACGTGAAGATGTTTGTTCTGTATCTTTGACTGTGGAAAAACAAATTTACACTTTTTTTAACATGTTTACAAGATAAGTTCTTTTGTTGTGTGTAAATCTAAACGATTACGCCTTGTGCACGGGTGTATGACATGACATGCACTTGAAACTCCAACCTAAACGCATTTTGTCAATTCACTGTGACAAAGCGTATATTTTTAATTAATTTTTTAATAGTTTTAATTCAGAAAATTATTATATTTTCAATTTTTGGGACATTCAACGAAGGATTAATCTAATATATATTAATAATGAATTAGTCCGTGTTTTTACCATTTATTGTGTACTGGCGTTAATAATTATTTCCATATTTAAAAAACCCAATTCAATAACCAGTATGATGATACTAGTCATTTTATCGACATAATTGCTACGTTAATTTGCATAGATATGAGGCACACTCTTTCATATGCTAAAATAGATGATCAACGAAATTATTTGTATTCACAACTGACGACCCTCCGTTTAAACCCTAGTATATGCACAATACTAAATATATATATTATAATGTTTATTAATGGCCAGTATCACATTATGGCTATGAATATGTAAAGAATACTGACATGTTTTGAAATAATGGAAATTGTTTTGGTCTGCCGATTCATAACGGACCAATTCCCCAATGTATGCTATTGATGTTCTGACTGATTTGCACAATATGGCGCGTCTGACATATACTGACCAACATAAATGAGGGAACATTGAGAAATAGTTATTAATGTTTGTTGTTGTGATCAGAAGAACGTTTCACGTCAGCAGATTAAGTCACATATTGTACTTTCAGTATTATGTGGTAACTATACTGACGGGCAAAAGAAAGTATACACCCATGTTAGATAATGGCTAGCAGGAAACAAACAAGACGTGGGTATTCGATGGTCATGTTTTTTTCATACGGGTATCATAGTTGTGTTTTGAACCTTAGGTTTGCAGTGTTTCAGCGACTGTTTTTAGCCTTCACTGATATATATATATTCCTTCTGGCTTCCGAAGTGGTTGCCAAGTAATGCAGGTCTTACCACTTACGTTAAAGCCTTCATCGAATCCTAGTACATCTAAGGGACGCAACTCTGTATCAGTTAATTTAGACGACTGGGCCTGCTGCCGGTGTAGACAGAGTCGTATATCTAGTTCCACGACTGCAGGAACGTCATTACTACGTCAACATTGCACAGCACTTTGTTGTGCGAATATGCACAATTGTGATCCGCTGCATACAAGTATGCAATCAGCTGTCATATGTAAGCGTTTAGGTTATGACCCTGCTTTAAGAGCTTGCAGCACACAACAAACGTTTATGTTGTGACATCCCATCTACAATATTACTGTTCTGCTACAACGGACAGACATACACGCCACGCCCTACTAGTTCCGAGAGAATGCTCAATTCACACAAATTCATGGTCACGTAAGCATATACTTTAATACTACGTATAGCCAACGATATCAACGATATCGTTATGCAACATTGCACTTGGGCAATTATTATTATTTACATATTTTACATGCACAAGCTGCATATTATTTATGTATAAAACTAGCAGCACGCTCTGAGTCACCTTGACGTTTCTTCATGGGCGTATATAGTTTGTTTGTTTGTTTATTTGTTTGCATCAACCAAGTCAGCGAGCCTGACCACCCGATCCCGTTAGTCGCCATTTACGGCAAGCATAGTCGCATTTTACGGCAAGCATGGGTTGCTGAAAACCTATTCTACCCCACTGTCAATGACAGGAAAGGTTGTTGCAAGGAAAGGAAAATTATCTTCAAATGACATTAAGATTGGTTGCCGATGGTTCTTCTGGATCGTCGTCGTTTTAGCAGTTTCACACATACATGTATAAGTTCAGGGTTAATAGGGGGCACGGGTAGCCCAGTCGTCTAAGGCGCCGCGATTCGCTCTGCAGAGTTGCGTCCCTTGGGCACGCCAGAAACCTATGATCGTGGGTTCGAATCCGGGTTCGCCCCGATTATGTTTCTAGGTTTGTCAGCACCATACCCGTGCTCGTGGGTTTCACCGAAGTGGTAAACGTCTGAGACCTGCATCACTTCGGGCTTTCCTCCCACATTAAGCTGACACGCCGCGATATAATTGGAATACTGTTAAAAGCGGCGTTAAACCCAACTCACTCACTCACTCACTCAGGGTTAATAGGCGGTGGCACGTACCCCGTGTACAGCCTACAGATCGCTAATTCGTTGGAGGCGGAGAGTAGTTGGATGGGTGACCGTGTTCGTCAGCATCACTCCTGAGAGTTTCTGTCATACAGACCCTGATACAAATATATCCAATACAGCCCATGCAAGTCTATAGTGTTTGGCAAGTCTAGATTACTGCAGTGTCTGAAAATGAAGAGAATCTCTAGGCTCTTTTTTTTATATTTTATTACGATAATTTAATAACTGTTTTTTTTCTGTAAGATATGTTAATTTCAGAGACTTGATGTAAGTCTAGGTCGTCCTGGCCAACACTCTCTGCCTCTCCCCTCCTCCCCCCAGTATGTATTACAGCTGCGTAAAATCAAACCCACTCACTCATCCCGGAACACGGGCCCTGTATGGCAACACATCAATGTGGTGGAATCTGTCCCCACAGACTACAAATGCCGCAATCATCTACTTCATCTCCGGGCCTCCTACAAAGTAAACGATTTTAACCCCATCTAATACCTCCATGGCTAGTAGCCCAGGTGCGTGAGATAAGAATAGATCTGCAACCTCATTACCTTCTCGTAACACAAGCAAACCTGACATTGTCTCATTGTTACCTTGACAAACACACACAACCCAGAATCTTGAAATGTACATGGGTGGTTAATTGCACTTGAAATCTACATTTGTACTACTGGACAAAACGCCAGTCTTAATGAACCATGAAATTAACAGACGATGCTCTAAATGAGCCTCTGAGATCTTTACGCAAGAGATTTGACATAAGGTTTCGTTTTCTGACTCTGGGGTATAAAATACAAGGTAAATATGTCTGATTGTTTTGAGTGGGCGGGGTATTGTATTGTCATTGACCTTGGTGACAGATGTAATTGACTGTTAAGTGATATTGACATCCATGTAGATTTCAAAGCTGCCTCAAGGGATCGTGGATGCTTTGTGCGATTCCTAAGTTGTATTCGCGTGTTAAAGAGTTCATTTGTATTACATAAGAATCAAACTCTTGTTGAAAGTTGTCTTACTGTTTCTTATTCCACCAACGAAAAACCAAAGAATAACATATTCCGGTCATGAATTCTTCACCGATGACAAAATCACTATATATTTTCATCTTTATCACTATATACGTTTTATCTCTGTCACTATATATTTTTTATCTATATCACTGTATATTTTTTATCCATTTCACTATATATTTTTATCTTTATCACTATATCTCTATCTCTGTCACTATACTTTTTCACTGTATATCCATATCACTATATTTTTTATCTTTTTATCCATATCACTATATTTTTTATCTTTTTATCTATATCACTATATATTTTTTTTATCTCTATCACTATATCTTTATCTCTGTCAGTAGAGTTTCTGGTCTATTTCACTATATTTTTATCTATTTTATTACTCGTTTAATCGCACTTGACTCACCCCGCTTCTTAAAAGCAGAAACAAGTGTTTAGCTATCCTTCGTAAAAAAGGTTTGTAAAAAATAAAATTTCAAAATTTTAAACATTGTAGGCATACAGATCTGAACAGTCAATTTAATCGCTATTACTAATTACAAACTACGTCATGTTAATCCGCTGTTAGATTTAAGTGTTTTTTTAATGACGGATTAGTCGTCAAAGTCACTGTATTTGAAAATTCAATAATTGGCATTAACGTTAGAAACACAAATTTAAGCGGAAAGAATGCAGCTTTGAGTTGACCAAATTTGCCTTTCCTTGCTGTGTAAATATATTATTCGGTTAATGTTTCCTAGAGAAGTAGCCGAGCATGTAGCGAAAACATAGTGATATGCAGAGCCTTGGCACTGAGAGGGGTAGTGTATGCCGACCATGTGTTTCTTAAGGTGAAATATCTTCTTGAGTTGTTTTAAAAAGCTTTTAATTATGTTCTGATTCACGGGGAAATTAGTCATGAATATGGCCCTGAGGAAAACTCACGATTTCATTACACCAAATATTATGTTGAAATATTTTGCCGGTAGGTCCTAGCTATGAGAATAGCGTCAGTTTCCATGAGCTGATGGAAGACAACCATCCCTTATGTTCAGTCTGAATTTTGATTGCCAGCCACACTGTATATAGGACAATCTCTGGCTTCGAGTTTGTCTGCTATCAAACTCATTTGTATTCAACGAGAGCGCAAGTATACATGACGTACGGCAGTTACTTCCCTTTGTAACTTCAACTTGTAAAATATATCATTTTCAAACACTCTAAAAACATTCTGAGTTTTCGAGTCGAGATTTCTTAATACATTCTACCTTCTGTTTATGCAATCAGAAAATATCAAACGGTTTCGTCAAGGAAATCAGAAGCGTTGAACTCATGGTATAAAACGATGATATCTAGGTCAGGAAGCGTTGATCCGTGAAAGCCCCGCCTCGTTTTCAGCACAGGAATCTGATTGGCTAGAGAGCTCATCACGTGGGTTCTATTTTCGCTGCTGGCTGTTTGCAGACGAGAAAGCTGCAATAAGCTACAGTTCGTTATCACCCTCAGCTAGATTGCCCGAGGGTAAGGATTTTATGCCTCGGTGACCCGGGTGGGTGATTTTGAATGGCAGACATATCACGGCTAGGGTATAGGTGAGGCAAAGAGCTGTGACAGTTTAGTCGAGGAAGCTAGAGAGCGCTACACACCATCCCGCCGCTCAAGGATTTAACACCGGACTGTCAAGCGTGTTCAGAAAAGTGGACTGTACGCTCATAAACTGGATATTCATTGGATATATATGTGTATGGTAGGTAAGTGCGTTTTGAATCACAAACATGAGTTCACTTAAACGTTCTATCAGAAAACATAATTATCTGAGATTTGTTCAGATGTGATGCTTGTCACCTGTTAAAGTTGAATAATATCCTCTAAAACTCCATATCGCTGTCATGCTTTTTACTGATATACCTGATGTCCTACGTTTAATGACCAAATGTACAAAATGTTCGACTAATGCTTATATTATTATATGTATTCAGGTTTTATATATAATTTTATATGCATATGTCATTTACAACTGACAAAGCACGTGAGTTTGTCATGATAAGTAATTTGGGGGACGAACTGTGACGGTCAATATTCGGAACATACCTCGATGTTATATAAAATTTAAATTCGGGTTGGGAAAATCGTCTCAAGTTTCTAACTTAAGTGTCACGTAAAAGAGGACATGTCTTTATCCCTCTTTATCACAGCATCACAGATGGGCAGCTGTGACATGTTTCTGTGACAGCGCTGTGACAGTCATACTCCACTGTATGTATTGGGTAACCGTTGCATTCATGGGTTGCCACAGTGTTGAATGGGTCCATGATAGCCCAGCCAGTAGGCCTACCATGTCATTAGCATATATACAATGTTTATAACACCAGCGTGTTACATTTCCCTATCTTAAAGCACGGGGGATCAGGCGTCGATTTCAAGAACCAGCTGAATGTGGGGTGCTGATTGCGTTCGCATTTCAGTTCGGTCGATCAATATTTTCACAGGTGGTTGTAGACTGTTGCTGTGTGAGAGACCTTATGCGATAACTTCAGGCACTTTGTAAATAGATGCTGAAACAAAATCCCTACAGTGTGCGAGTGATGTGATGCGAAGACTCATTTAACAATTCCAGTTGTGATTTAATATGTGAAAAAAATGCGAAGGTTCAAAACGCAACCTTTTTGGGTGGAATTTGTGAGTTTGGTGCTGACAAACCAAGTATCGTAATGGGTAAATATGGGATTCGAACCCACAGCCAATGATATTTAGTGGCAAGAGCAAACCTCAAAATATCGCATCAAAACTATATTAACAACCTGTTGAACTTACTTGCAATTTGGATTCATGTACAGATAATTTTCCTTGAATCGGTTGTCCGTGTAGGTGAATTTGAGAAATATTTGTATAATTGATGACCTGTTAATAAGTGAAGTTTAACCTATGAACGTTGATTCTCAGGTTTCCGTGAAAAAAATCAGTTAGCTCCGAAACACTTGTGTTTATTAATTCAGAAGCTGACATCTATAAATGTCTTACTCGACTCAGCTCGGGGTCTTTTATGTCACTCAAGCAAGCCATGCGGGGCGTGGTTTAACTGTTTTGTTGATGTCTTGATATACGAGAGTCAGTTGGAATAAGTTGGGCTTTTGTTGCAATATAGACACTATCATATCTTTTGAATTTACGTAAGTGTGTTTGGATGAACGTAATGTTGTTGAATGTGACACAATGCTGTTGAAAATGAAACTTAATGCTGTCGAATATGAAACTTATTTCTGTTGAATATGAAACTTAATGCTGTTGAATGTGTATGTTGTACTTAATTCTGTTGGTTATGAAACTTAATGCTGTTGGTTATGAAACTTAATGCTGTTGGATATGAAACTTAATGCTGTTGAATATGAAACTCATTGCTGTTGAATATGAACTTATTGCTGTTGGATATGAAACGAAATGCTGTTGATCATGAAATTCATTGCTGTTGAATATGAACTTAGTGCTGTTGGATATGAAACGAAATGCTGTTGAATATGAACTTAATGCTGTTGAATATGAAACCCATTGCTGTTGAATATGAAACCCATTGCTGTTGAATATGAAACTCATTGCTGTTGAATATGAACTTAATGCTGTTGGATATGAAACAAATGACCACCAGGGACAATACGTTGTCACGTATGTTGTCGTTGATTGTGTGCCATCTTACACGTGGACTCCAGTTGTCGCTCACACTATCAACCACCGGTTGATATCTGAGACCGCCCTCTTTGAATAGCTATAGCTTTGCTGGTGCCACCGTCCAAGACGTCAACTTGTATACATAACAACATGATAGTTTCTTAAACAACTTTTCCTAGTGATGGGAATAAAAATAACAAACAGCAGATATTGTTGGGCACAGGGTATTCATTGCCGCGTACCGTATTGACATTTAATAGACTGTGCCGATTTGGAGTTATTTTGCAATGCATTGTTCCCATTTCGAGCCAAGCGACTGTTATATGGGACATAAAGAAACGTACATACATTAAAACAGCAGGGGACAATTCCAGTTCACTCTCGTCCACCTGGTGACAGGTGATGTCACATTGCAATGAACAGGTTTGCATTTTAAAGTTGAAATTCTGACAACCTTTTTGATATATGAGCCTCTGAGGAGCTGGATGTATCATTATTATACACGCTTCCTGAAATGTTGGATTACTTTTTAATAAAGTGTGTATGTTACCTCGTCCCGCTCCATGACTGAATTTTATAGTTTTTTGGTATTTTTTTACTAAAAGCCTTGGCAAGTCTTGATCAAACTAACCAAGTCTAGTTTGGTTGAATGAAAACAGCAGATGAGGAAAGATTTTTCGGTTTAAAAAAATATATATTTTAAAGACATGTTTTCATTGAATAGGTGTTGGTCTACATGTTACTCTGTATGTGAAGGTACCCGTGAAGATCCGGGGTAGAATAGGTCTTCAGCAACCCATATTTGCCCTAAAAGGCGACTATGCTTGTCGTAAGAGGCGACTAACGGGATCGGGTGGTCAGGCTCGCTGACTTGGTTGATGCATGTCATCGATCCCAACTGCGTGGATCGATGCTCATGATATCAATCACTGGATTGTCTGGTCCAGACTCGATTATTTACAGACCGCCGTCGTATAGCTGGAATGTTGCTGAGTGCGGCGTTAAACAACAAACCAACCAACTGTATGTGAAGGTCTGTCTCGTGGAGCAGGGAAGGCTTACAGTCGTGAAGAAGGCAGTGTCTTATTGGTTGTGTAATGGCATGGTGTGTTAAGTAAAGAGGCAGTCTGTGCATAGGCTTTCCTTGTATGTGGGGAGATAAGACACGTGTAGTGATCGTGTTAGGTCTGTACTCTCAATGGGGGAGTGCTGGTTTCATATATGAGTCTTCCCACATTCGGTGTGAACACTAACATTACTCTCAGTGCACTGTTTGGTTCTGGCCGTTGCTGTGTTCTGTTCGATTGTCTGATCCGGTCTGTTCGATTGTCTGCTCTGATCTGTTCGATTGTCTGATCTGGTCTGTTAGATTGTCTGCTCTGATCTGTTCGATTGTCTGCTCTGGTCTTTTTGATTGTCTGCTCTGATCTGTTCGATTGTCTGCTCTGGTCTGTTCGATTGTCTGCTCTGGTCTGTTAGATTGTCTGCTCTGATCTGTTCGATTGTCTGCTCTGATCTGTTCGATTGTCTGCTCTGGTCTGTTAGATTGTCTGCTCTGATCTGTTAGATTGTCTGCTCTGATCTGTTCGATTGTCTGATCTGGTCTGTTAGATTGTCTGCTGTGTTCTGTTCGATTGTCTGATCTGGTCTGTTCTGTTTCATTTTTCTTTGCTGGTCGTAAGAGGCCACTAACGGGATAGAGTGGTCAGCCTCGCTGACTTGGTTGATGCATGTCATCGTATCCCAGTTACATAGATCGATACTCATGATATCAATCACTGGATGGTCTGGTCAAGACTCGAATATTTCCAGACCGCTGTCAAATAGCTTGAATATTGCTGCGCGCGGCGTTAAACACAAACAAACAATCATTTTTTTTGTTCTCTGATCTGAAATGATCTGTTTTAGTTCAGCATACTGTCTGTTTCTTTATTCATATACTCGTAGGGGCGGTCGGGTAGCCTAGAGGTTAAAGCGTTCGCTCGTCACGCCGAAGACCCGGATTCGAATCCCGACATGGATACAATGTGTGAAGCCCATTTCTGATGTCCCCCGCCGTGATATTGCTGGAATATTGCTAAAAGTGGCGTAAAACCATACTCACTCACTCGATCATATACTCGTGTGATCAATGCTATTTGTAATAGGCTCCTCTCAGCTGTTTCTGTTTTTCCGTTTTCTTTTTTGGTTTAACATGCTTAGCATTAATGAACGGAAAAGGGAGATATCCCCCTACTTGACGGCAGGGTGTGGAGACAATGCTACAACACCAAGGATAAGGTCTGTGATGCCGAACCAAAATGATTAAGAAAGAGTAACAGTAAATCTATTTTCAGAATACGTAGCCGCGCCTTATAACGAAACTGCAACGTATATTTTATTTTTCCACAATTCCTGTCCTGTGAAACTGTTGTTATAGCTTGATTAACACAAGCCAAATAAAGCTCTCTCACTATCTGCTCTTGTTAGCTCACCTGAATAAATATTTCGGACAATATAATGACACATCGTTTTGAATATGTTTTTTTCATTTGAGCATAAGGTTGTCTGTGAGTCAAACTATTCGTACACGAGAAACAATATTAACCACTCGAAACACCATCTGCATCCGATAATCACGCTCCATGTTTATTTACATCGCTAACTTCAAAGGAACGTTTACCTAACCTATTAACATATGATAACCTCAAGAAAAGGGGAGATCTTCCGGCCATTCTTCATCAGTGACAGGCTGATGAATTACTTAAAGAACCTATCACTTAATTAAGATTTACGAGGTAGTTATCTTCTATTGTCTTCAACCACAATGGCTTAATCTCTTTGAAGTAGATTATCTTTAATTGCTTTTTGACAAATACTGATCACCGTCAGCAATTAAGCTGTTAATCGTACGGTTATTTATGAAAGGAAATTGAACAGATTAAACCGATGTATAAAACAACGCAGGAGGAAGCATTTTGTCCTCCAACCGTAAGGGATCCGAAACCGATCAGCTCAGTGTCAAGTTGTAGGCAGACCCATCAGCCATGACAACCGATATTGATCGACATTTCCGAAACTAATCCATTTTTTGGTCTCTTTTTTAGGT